AATTAATACCTGCCAAATAACACAGCACAACACAAGTAACAAACACATGCTTTTTATGTTTACATTCAGTCAGTTGGGCATTGTATTTCGAAATAAAATTATTACTGACCCAAATAAATGGTTTTTTAGCATCAAGCCAATATTTCTAAAGTAAATTTATCTTATTTTGCGATACATCTAAAGATTTAGAAACCATGTGAAATAAAACACGCTAGCGTCTTATATTCGACTTTGGGCAAGCCCTGCTTGAAAATTATAAAAATTGAGTGCATACAAAAAGTGTATAAATATAGAGCAGCCCGGACTAACAATTCAAAATGTTAAACATTACACTCCGTGTTCTACATCCTCTTGCCTCACTTACAAACACCTTACAAACACACCCTTACAAACACACCCTTACAATTATCACTTTTAAACATGCCTAACTCTGCTGTCACTTTTATTGCTGCCCTTGCTGCCGCTGTTGTTATTGCTCCTGGCGCCACTGCCAGCCCGATTCTGCCATTTGTTGGTGCTCCCGGATTTTTTGGAACTGGCTTTGTCGGGCCATTGACCACTGGCTTTGCCACTGGCGCTGCCATTGCCGGAACTGCTGGCTTTCCGTTTGTGAACACCGCAGCAATTGCCACCGGCGCTGCTGTCGCTGGCACCGCTGGCTTCCCGTTTATCAGACGCGATCATTCCACTGGCGATCATCTGGCCAAGCGCTGCGGCGGCGGCTGGGGCGGCTTTCCATTTGCGGCCAACACCGTGAATGCATTTGACCGCGACTTTTACGCTGCCAATTCCAATGACAACACGCTGTTTGCCAACAACCAAAACGCCAATGTGGTCAGCGACAACGTGCACGCCCTCAATACTGCCAACGTAATTGCTTGATTTGGTCAAATTCGGAGTGTCAACAGCAAACACTGCAATAACATTAGTAGCAGCAATAGTAACAAAAATAAATATGTACATTTGCCCAAATCGGGCTTTAGCATATTTACTCGATTTTAAATATGATTTTTTCCATTGTTTTATACATGGACAAGCATTGCTATAAATTCAACTTTAATGCTCAACAAATTAACTTGTGCTGTTAATTCCTGTGATTTTAAGTGGTGCCAATAATAAAAAAGATAAAATAGGCAGATGAATCAAGAAATATGGATAAAACATATGTACAAGCAAATTTTGAATTGCATTCATATATTTGACATTTGAAAATAGGCTTTATGTAAATTATTTGTTGGACTTCCAGACAAAAACTTGTATATATAAAGCAACAATGCGCGTCTCATATTCCAGGTATTCAGTATCCTCACAACACTGCTCACTCAGCTAACACTTTCCACTTTAGATTAAATACCAACTACAACCGCAACATTTACAAACATGCTTTGCTTTGCCACTACCATCACCGCTCTTGCTGCCATTGCTGCCTTTATTGCGCCTGCTGCTAATGCCAGCCCCGTTTCTGCCAGCTACCAGTCCACCAAAACACTTGCGGGAGTGGCAATGTCAACGGTGGCAGTGCTTATGGCAATGCTTATCCTTACAACGCAGGATACAACAACAACGTCTACCCCTACGGTGGAGCATACAACGCGTACAATAGCTACGGTGGTACTGGCAATTACGGCGGTGCTGGCAACTACGGCGTGCTGGCAACTATGGTAATATCGGCAACTATGGCAATATCGGTGACTATGGCAATATCGGCAATTATGGCGGTGTTGGTAACTACGGAAGCTACGCATCGGGCTTTCCAATTGCGCTCAGCACGGTCAACAACTTTGACCGCGACTCCTTTGCTGCTACCTACAACGACAACACTTATTACGCCAATAACAAGGACGCCAGCGTAACTAGTGACAAGGTCAGCTCCTCCAACAGCGCCAACGTCATTGCTTAATTGTTTGCTTTGTCAAGCATTGGCAGGGGTTGCCTATATGGTGATAGACATCGAAAATAGACCAAATTAGACATTACACACACAAACTCATTCACCACTTAATAAAATATATTTTTGGAATAGCTCGAGTTTGCCTCAACTAAAATATAGATTACAAATATATCCACTCATTTCGTCATCTAAGTGCATTTGATGAAAACATTGTTATTAGTGTATTATTAAATGTAATATTATATTCAATAATAAGAAAATGTAACAGCGCTGTTCGCTATACTTATTAATAAAGTGTTTAAAGTAAAATAACATTGGTGGTATTGCATTCATTTTGGCAGTCCTAGCTGTGCGCATCAAGTTTAGGCAAGCTACACCGTGCGCCAAAAGCTTGACCTAATAATCTACTAATCCTTTTGACATACAACGAATTTAATTTTTTGCCTGGGTAATGGGGTGGTGAAAGTCCCATCCGCGGCGATACTTGGTGATAGGTCGGTAAAAGTCCCATCCACGACGCTCGTAGCTGGCAGGATGCTTGGGGGTTGCGGCAGGAGCGAGTGGAGATATAGTAGGATTGGCGTCGGCAGGACCAGGAGCAGGAGCAGCGAGAACAACGCTGGAGGCGAGAGCGGCAATAATGGCGGTAAAGAACTTCATTATTTAAGGGATTGGATCAATGGCGTGTGTTTGGGAGGAAAAGGTAGGCGGAAGGCGAATGTGTTTGATACTGTTTTGTGAGTTGGATTTTGTCGGCAAAAGTGTTCTTCTTATACACGTGTTTTTTCTGGTGGCAGTCGTGTATGCAATTGTTGGCTCTACACTGGTATGTAAAATGCAATTTTAAGCATTGCAAATACACACATTTCATTATAGATATTTAAATAGCATGTATGTAGATGAGTTCGTGGTGTGTGGTGTGTGGTGTGTAGTGTGTGGTACACAGTTTGTAGTTTGTATAAACGCATGCTGTTTCACATTCTCAAACATTCTGATAAAGACGCTTTTAAAAATTTCTTTTCAAAAATACTTGGTGTCACAAAATGCACAGAGCTAATTTATTTATCTGGATAAGCCGGCAAATTCACGAATGAAATATTTTGTTTGCCCGCAGAAAGGGGATGATCGTGAATCTCTTTGTGCGAGTATGTTCCAATTAAATATGTGCTAAATGCAAGTTCTCGCGGTTATCCTGAAATTTGCTTCACATCAATGATCGTGTATTTTTAAAAAAAAGTTTAGTTCGAACATATAACATATAACATAGCACTTGCCATTCGTCTTTTTGGCCCAATATCTTGCTCCATTTTCCAAATAAAGACTTTGCGCGCAATACGGGATATCTGCTTATAAACCATGCAAATTGTGAGTAAAGGGCAGCCTGGCTTTAGCAAATTTACATACAGACACTTTGAATGCCAATCCGAACCGCACAATTCTCGATTCACGCATATCAATCGTTGCAAATATTTGGTCTTTAATTAACTCCTTTGAAAAAGATAAGTACATGCTACTCTGCGAGTCTTATATACCAAATAATTAAATTAGAAATATAAGCTGAAATCAAATATCAAACACCATATGCTCAGCAATACGGCGTAAAGTTAAACCACTGCATTTCGGCTGTGAATGGGCCCTGCGACCAGTCAACAGTGCCAGCCCAGCCGCTGGTTTGTGTGCCGTCCCAAATCCCCATCCGAGCACGATTGGCATACGTCGGGAACTCTTGTGTTTTTTTATTCAAGGTGCGCAAAAGCTGGCCGTTGAGATACCATTTGACGCTGTCTTTGTTCAGCTCGATGGCATAGTTTTGGAATGTCGTGCTCAAATCACCGTTACCCTGCTGGTCAATGCCAAAAACCTCTGGAAGAACGTCTACGCGATGTGCCTGCACATAGTACATAGTCTGGACATGGGTGACATCTTTGCCCACCCACTCAAAGTCAATCTCGTCAGAAGGCGGTGGTCCCATCAGTATCATGGCCGTCACCACACCACTTCCAGGGCCAATGCGAACACGGCCCTCAATTTTGCCATAGTGGAAGTCCCAAGGGTAAACCATTGTCATGCCGCACTCTTGGGTCAGTCTCCAGACCACAGAGTTGTCAGTTTGATAGGCGTTTTCTGGACACCATACTAAGCTGAACTTACTCATGGCGTCGCGCTGGGAAAAGTCGATAAAGTCGCTCTTGCATGTGTATACTGTGTCGCTGGGCTCCTGCGAATACGTACCGCTAGATAAAACAGCAGGCTGTGAATCAGTGTCGCCGGATGTGGTTTCTGAAGCAACCGCAGCAGCGTAGTGGTAGTGGTTGTCGAAGATTCCGGCGCCTTGGTGCTTGAGCTGGCAGGCTTAGATGTTGTCAAGGCAGATGTTGATTCAGCTGCTGTAGTGGTGATCGCAGGTGCTTGGGTCTCCAGGTTGCTTCCCGTGTTACCATTGCCAATGCCGACCAGGTCAGCTATGTTGATAATTCCTCCGCCCGCGGGGATTATCATGTCCAGACCGTCGTCCTCTATGTCTCGTTCGTGGAGCCTGTCACTACGAGCATCAGGCGGGCTTCCCTTGTCATACCAAATGCTTCTTTGGGCGTGTACGGCTCGCTATTCGTGTCTTGGCCAAAGAAAACCTCCCTCAAACACGTGCCGAGGCTCCCGTCGACGCCTGTGGTGGCGTATGCGATATAAGCAGCGAAATAACAGCAAATGCCTTGCTCATTGAATGGCTAATGCAAAGTTTAACAAAGTAAATGTACGGGTACAAGAAAAACAAATTGTGCTAAAACAAAGAGCAAAAAGAGTGGCTCTCTGGCGTTCAGGAAGTGTGGCAAGCTCCGCTCCACTATATCGTCAACAATCAACGTCGATGCACTTGGCGGCGCATCCTTCTATCATGCATGGTTTTTTACTTTTGATATTTCACGTGACCAGTCATTTTTTAATGGTTTTGGCAAAATCATCGATGATGATCAAGCAATCAAATCACACATATAATGTGCTTTCAAGATAAGCGTCAGAAAAACTGCCAGAGTGTGGTGCTCAATTCCGCGTGCGTGGAGAGAAAAAGAGAGGCGAATTTGCCAGCGACAAATGAAAATGCCTGCTGTGGGCTCGCAGCGAAGTGGTTTGCAGTTGCTATCCATTCGCACTTTCTTTTTTTCTATTCATTTGCAAATTTGAATTTGAATTCTATAACCTTTTTATTTTTTCGTTCTTTACACAACAGGTAATCAATCGGGCACAGAAGGACAGTGGATTTGTTACTCATTCGGAGGGCTTATCGTGATTCGGTCACGCACTTTGCGAAAATATGGGGAGCCTGAGCAGAGCGAGAAAACCTTGCTCTGCTACTCGAATTATATTGATAGCTCCGACGCAATGGAAACAGCAGCAGCAATGCGATAGCAGTATAGCCGACCCTACAGACCTCATTCATTCGCTAAATCTCGCTCAAAACTAAAACACTATTTTTCTTGCCCAAATATGTACTTCTTTTTTGCTCAACTGTAGGTAGTTAGCGAAGAAAAAATATAACCATGTCTGCAGCGGGTCGCAAGTTCCTTACCACTATCAACTGGCCGGTTATCAACTCTGTGCTCTCAAAGCACACTGAGATTACCGCGTCCCTCGGTGCCTTCCGCAAGGGCTACGAGGAGGCCGAGCGCCAGCTTTCGCAGCTCAAGGAGTCCGACCGCTCAGTCGACTTTGAAAGCTACCGCCGCATCCTGAAGAACTCGGACATTATCGATAAGCTGGAGAAGATTGCCAACACCCAGAAGATCGTCAAGGTCGACCTGGCTGACCAGCTGAAGACCATCTCTGCGTTCGAGGCTAAGGCTGTCACTTCGGCCGAGCTCTACGTTAAGGAGACCGAGGCCAACCTGGCTGATCTCAGCGAGACCGTCAAGAACATTGACCAGGCTCGCCCCATCACTCAGCTCACTGTTGACGATGTTGTCAAGGCCAAGCCTGAGATCGTCCAGCGCACCGAGGATCTGGTCAAGCAGGGCAAGTTCACTGTCGATGGCTACGACGAGAGGTTCCCCAGCCTTGCTCTTCTCTAAATTATCTCGCCATCCAGCGCCCGGTAATCAGTATTTTTCCAACTTGTCCTTTATTGCTTCATATTCATCATGAAAATGACAACAGCCCTTCCTTTATTACCCGTCGCGAATTGATGCGACGACAGCAAATATAAATGTTTATTTTTAAAGTTCAAGTATAGTTGCAAAAGCTCGTATGGTTTGGCGCTGCGCACATACGCATATTGTAAGAGTTGTTTTATTGTTCACAAATGCTATTCGCAAAGCTACTCAGTGACCTTGCGCTTTTTGCGAATGCTCATAGTGAGGTCGTTGACTTTGGGAGCTTCCTTTGCCTTGGTTTCGCTGTGCCTCGGCGCAACTGCAGCACCAGTGGTATCAACTGCAACAGATGCAATACCAAGTTGTGTATCGATGTATTCTGTGAAGCGCCGAGACGAAGCGAGCGCGCTATCAGACGAAGAAAAATCCATACCGCGGTCAAACAGCGCAACAAGAGCCCTGTCATAGTCGTCAAAGGAAGGCTTACCCTGTTCGGCAGTGCCATCAGTATCAGCAGAAGCGCAAACAGGTGTGCTCTGAGAGGCAGGGTTGCAGAGAAATAGGCTGTGCGACGGCCGGACCCGCACTCCTCGCTGACAGAAAGCATTTCAAGCAGAGTGTGCACTGACCAGGCGCTGGAGTGAGGTTCCGAGAGCAAGCGGGTCATTGGGTCGTCTGGGAACTGCAAAACACAATCATGAGCGCGAGCGGTGTCGTCGTATGGAAGCCCCCATTTCCACTGCACAGTATGGGGCGCTTTGCTGTAAACACTCAATGCGGTGTCGGTGGGATCGCACTTTGCCATCATGCCCGTTGCCAGCTGCTCGATAGCTTTGTCTGCCTCAGACACTCGTATTCCGCTCTGGGCGCCCAGGAACCAAGGAGCCTCGCCTACGCTTGTTCCAGGAACAATGCAGTTTGCTATTGCAGTCAGGCTACTTGCGGTGCTATTGTCGCTTACCATCGCGTAGGCAAGGCCTGCCTGCAGTGTGCCCTGCCACCACTTGATCAGCGCCAAGTCGTCGAGAATGCGCTTGCCAGGATTACCCTGGGATTTTGCAAATAGGTACTCTGGCTGAGCGCGCGCAAACAAATGCACACTGACAGTGTCAATCCCAAGCGGCGCCCTGTATCTGCGCAGAGAGCGCATATAGCCGGCAATAAGCGCACTGACAAGTGGCATTCGGATGGAAAGCTCCCCCGAGGTGTCGACTTTCTCGATGCATACGTCGACAGCCACCGATGGGCTCGTATTCTGCCCGCTGCTGACTTGGACGGAAATAGAGGTGAACTCGTGAGCCTCGAGTCCGGCAACTAAGCATTCACCTTGCGAGACAAAGATCAGAGTTCGCCGCGACATTGTCGATGATGAATGAAAGTGGCTAAAGCGCCGCTGTGGGGTTAGCGAGTCGACCTGGTGATCAGCAGTGGTGATCACGCGCACTGATAATTTGTTCCCGGCTGGCAAATTACGCAGGGATTCAGCAATGTCGCTAACAATAGTTGTGTTTTGCGCCTTTGCCGCCATTGATGCTGATATTGCCGAAGCTATCTGTGGCGCCATGTGTTGTATTTATTTATTTATTTAATAGAGCAAAATTATATACGAGAAAATGAAAATGAAAATGAAAAAATGATTTATGGAAAGACGAGAATATAATACGTGAGGCTATTTTACGGCTGGTCAATATCACAGTGCGCATTTTTTAAATGCGAGCGATAAGGGTTTTGGGATGGTCACTCAATTTGTTTGGCCGAGACTGGGGCTGAGCCTGAGCATTGTTTTGACGAGAAAAATGGCCGGATGTTTATTTGTTGTTATTGTTATTGTTGCTGGTGCGGTCAGCGGACGTATATACCTGAAATCGCACACGGCAATTTTGATAGCACCAGTTCAATTGCAACCATCGGCTTAAATTGCTTGATTGCATGCCCTTATCTGACAGACTGAATACATGTGTGCCTACATAAAATAGGTGCATTTATTGCATAACCTTAATGATTGTATTGTTGTTTTTGGGCATACCATGCACACAAGTCATGATAGCTGCATTCCTCAGTCTTGCAATTGCGCATAGACATCTGCACATGTGGAGTAAAAAAGCCAAGTGGTGTGAGCTAAGAAAAGGAAGCCATAAATGATACAAGGTATGTGCGTGCATGCATATATTTAAAATTTTATGCGAGCTTGTCCGACCTTTGTTATTGGTATTGGTATTGGTATTTTAAAGATAAGCCCTACATATTACAAAATGTTAATTGGCAATCTGAGTAATCAGAAAACAATAAGCCCCTGTATGCTACTTTACTAAAATAAAATATTAATTAAACTATTTGAGTGCAATTTGGATATACTGCTGCGACTGCTGTATATGCCCACAATCATTGGAAAAATTGCAAAATGAAAACAACAACAAAGATGATAATAACAGCAGACAAAACCAATTGTTCGACAAGCCTTTGCTCAAGGTTGCAACTCCATGCAGGTAAACGTTTTTGTGCCAATATTGAAAAGTCATAAACAAACGGCTGGCAATTAATGATACTGTGGCTGACAGCCACCGGGTCATTCGTCTTATTGTTAATTTTACAGCTATAATCAAAATTAAGAATGCCTGCTGTAGCAGTTGTATGGAAACTGACGGCGCCTTCTGTTGTGTGTTGTAACAAAAAAGTATTGGTTGTGCTAGTTTCTGGGTTGGTGGCAAATAGAAGTACATTAAAAGCATATACTCAAGAACAATTAGTTAAAACAATTGCCTGTGGAAAACAGCCTCCCCTAAAAACGCGTTCAAAGACTACAAGCCAAGCATGGACGTTGGTGCGCGGTTTGTTTTTCTTCAAAACAATAAACAGCAGAACAATACACATGAAACGACCATCGCGCGGTCAACGAAAAAACAACAATGAAATGCAAACTTTTATAAACTGTGCCAAATCAGAATTCAAGCCGTTTGAATTGTTTTTGGCGCATATTTGTTTTTATAAAAAATAGGATTCTTAGCCTGCCACACCCATTTTTTCGTTTATAGTTTTTTAGATTTGTTCATATTTTGTTTATGACAATTTTAAACCCACTAAACGGCCTTTGTGTGTCACAGTTGTTGCACTTAACCTATACTTTAATCCATCGGGGGGCTTCACCTCCCATTGTATTAGTAGTCAACAACTATACCGCAATGTTTATTTTATTTTGTATATAATGATCGATGTAATGATAGCAGACCAAAAAAGCAATAAACAACTGCACCTTCCACTACCGCCACAGCAAACAATTGTTTATAAAAATACATTTTCCTATAAGCTGAACACATAATAAGACGTGGATTCCAAAGAAGACACAATGGATTGAGGCGGACATGTCAATGTCTGGCTGGAATGGCGTGTAATCAATTATTTTTTGTTGTGTTCCCTATACCTGTCCACGGCCAATATCTCCAGCTGGCCATTTCAGTGGGACTACAACAAAGTGCAATACTTAAGCATCATGCGTGCGTTGCAGCCAGCAGGCATAGCGAGCAAATGATTCAAAATTGCTTTGTAGCGCTCGGCCTATTAAGTCAAAATAAAAACACTCGGAGTTGGAGTTGAATTTAGCAAGACTGGATGCTAGAAACATGCGCATGGTCATTTAAAAACAAGAAAAAGCCGGTATAAAGCCCAATTTACATGGCAGAGATCCTCAATCCATTTATTGCGTCTTTTTCAATAAGAAAAGTGCATGCACAAAGGGGGGGTGGTTCTAAGTCTCGGTCTGCCACCCACCCCCCGGAGGTCATGCCCACTCGCTTAGCCCCCCGCTCCCCCTCCTTTCTCTTCCTTTGGCGTTATTTTTCCGAGTCGACGCTCCCTTTTAAACAAGCCTGCATCACCCATCAGTTTTCAAAATCGCCAACCGATTGCACTTTTTTTATTTAATCCGTTCACCGTGCTTGTTTCTACACCTCATCTCAAACAAAACCCCCCATTTTCCTCTCTCATAGCCTCAAGACTGTATCATAGATACACTACTATTCCAGCACTTTTAATATTGCACAAACACATTTAGAACTACACTACACTCGACACTGGCATATATATTCATATACCCTCACATATTGATTTTAGCACTTGGTAAACGCAGCAACGCCTTTTCCACTTTAAAACCCATTTTCTCGCCTATTCACTTCTTATTCACCTTTCGACAACTCCTCTTCCTTTTTCTCCCACGTCCATTTCTCTGCCCTATTACCCTCTTCCCATCATTGTCATCTTTTTTAGCCAACTATCGCTGTTATATTCCTAAGCACGCACTATCACCACAAGTCTACTTGACCAGCGCTAAAATAACAGAATCAGCCAGCAACCCCGACTTTCATGAACTCGGGTCGACCAAGGTACGTGAAAAATAAATATAAACACATATTTACTATGTTTGAAATTAGCTATTGTTCCACTGCCTCCTTTTATACACCATTCAACTCCACTCATTAATTTCCGGGGCCCGAGCGTGGCTGCCAGTCAGTATCCTCTCCTTTCCTCTCCTCTCCTCTCCTTTCCATCCTATTTGTTTTTGTCAAATTGCCAAAGAAAGATTAGGAAATTAGTTTGATTGCCTATTGTCAATTAGATGCCTATCGGTCTTTCCAATTAAGGAAATGTAATAATTGCATGATTGCCATTACGATACTTTGAAGCCCAATATCAGCTTTTCCTTACAAAAAACCCCGTCCTTTTTTCCATCAAAATGTTTTTTGCGTCGCTGTGACATCCTTACTCTTGTTTTTCCCACTGTTCAATTGGCCTAAAGAGATTTGCGGCGATTGTATTTAGACGTTGAAAAAAAGACCAAAATCACACCGCGTTGACCTTTTTTACAACTCGTGGTCCAACACATCTTTGTTTACTTCCTGTTTCAAAAAAGAACATACGACCAATTTTTTTTACGCACTGTCGCTCAATAGTTTTTATTTATTTATTTGTTTGTCTTTTTATTTCTGCTATTTCAGCCCGAAGAGCCTGGCCACCCACTCACACGCGAGTAGCCATTATCTGTTCTGAACAAAAGGAGCCATTGTTTCGATCTGCACTATTATTATTTTCATTACAAAAAAATCATAAAGCGCCATGCATGGCTTGCTCCAAACAAGGCCCAATTTGTACTATCCATGATCCAGCCCGATGCTGTTCACTTGGCAATAGCGATGCCATCAATTTGCAAAAAATATATATATTTTAATATGCAACGGCGTGTTGTTGACTCTTGAACCCGCACACTTCTTGACCATCATATTCCAATAAGTGCGACACTCTCACACCACCATTGGTTCACCATTGGCATGGCAAATTCAGTCGGTTTTTTCTGTAAGCAGTGACCCAGCTTTTGTATGTCTCATTGATGCTGGGTTTGCCACATCCCAATTCAACTGCGCTTTGTTCTTGTTTCAATTAGATGAAAAAATTATTTGCCACAAATCACAAAAAAATATAATAATGAATCAACATAATGTGTGAGAACTATTATCGCTGTCATTTATTCCTATTGTTCTTGTCCATATACTTTATCTTTTTCAACCTTGCCTTTGTTGTCCCTTGTTTGTCTTCTTTTTTTGCTGTCAAAGATGTTTTTTCACTTTTGACGAACAACCAGGAGTGCGAAGGCAGAAGCGATACTCGTTTCTTTTTTAAAAAGGCAATCGTTTCCATGTGCGCGTATTACCGAATTACTTTTTTCTTTACTAACTTTATTTATTTATGTTCTTGCATCTTTGCTAACCTTTTTTGTTTCTTATTACCGGTATTTTTAACTCTAGTGTATTTCAACAAATCCAGTCAGCCAAAGACTTAATCATGCGAGGTGACCAAGGTGCTTCAATCTACCAGATAGAGGAGGCTAGCCGAGCCATCGCTACTCTGTGCCATAGCATTTCCAGCAACAACTCTGAGGTAAATATGGCCCATTTCCCTTTAAAAGGATTACCTTTCTTGTTCCCACCAACACGTTTTATTCCACATGTCCCTTTTGTTTGCTTTTGTTCTCATGTGGGATGGCGCAGTGCATACTGCAGCCTACTGCCATAAAGACCCAGCGCTCCTTTGCTTTAGTTTTTTGTTACGCACTTAACTGCCATTATGCCCATCATTTCCTCGATCATCCGGCCTCTGCATTAGGAGAGGAGGGGATGGGGAGGGGTGCTGCAGCGGGTGGCACTGCAAAACAATGTGAGGTTGACCCCCCCTTACATGATAAGCGACATTAAAACTTTAGACTAATAATTGCATGTCAGATGATATGTCAAGCAGCTGGTCAATAGCAAATGGGCAATGCCCTTGC